CTGCTCAGAGCCCCTAACGAAACGAGACAGGACGATTCGATACTGTACACGGAAGGAGTTGTAGCTCGAACACTGGGATCGTGCGTTCGAATCACATCCAAGGCATCGATGTCTGTGTTTGTGCGGTACTCTGCAGGAAGCGGCCTTACGACGGGCTGATCCCCCGTCCAAGGAGTCCAAACGACTGTGTAAAAATCAAGAAAATATAAAAGCGGCCAATGTCAAACAAAAAGGGCTGCAGAGCCATAGACAGATGAAAGGAACTGCAGGGCAATTCACACTGATAATCTACTTAACACGCTAGACATTTACATACACATGGGCTACATATGCAATGACATGAGAACGGTCCAACACAATGTCCACTGAATGACCTTGAGCCGCCTATTATGTGTGTCTGCTACGTTCGGGCTACACCATTACGTCACACTGTATTAATTAGTTCCACGATTCTCAGACTAAACCTGGAGGCCCTACACAGACTGATTCTTATTCCTACTTAAAGCGTTTACTGTTAATTTCCAGCTGCATCCACATCTGCCACACGATGTATGTCCGTGTCATCTCTACTGTCACGTGATGGTGTAACTGAATATACTGGACACTTACAAAACGTAACTAGGAAAATCTATGACAGTCTTACTCAGTTACACACTACTGCACATATTAAGTCATCCCAGTCATTAGCCGTTGCTTCGTAGCGGCTTCCAACGGCCGACGTTCCCTTTCCTCTGGGTTCTCGGACTGTACAAAGCCGCAGCTACTGGCTTCCTAATTCTCACAACTGCAACTCAACTGTCTCAATCCTCTCTCGAGTCACAGTCAGAGAGACTTTACGACTGGCGATTTACCGCCAATCAGTTCGTCTTGGCGTCAAGCCCCTTAAGGATCACAACCTTTCTGTCATAATCCTTATGTAACATCCTTTCCGACGAGAAGATTGGTTTGTCTCTTATGAATAAAGTTGGCCTTTGTCAAGTGTACGTACCGCACATGTGGTGGGTTACAGAAAATGCTTCCTTTTGCACTACACACAAGTCCACGGTCAGTACAGCCTTTACAGAACAGGCCATGCCTATCTTACATACCTTGGCAGTTAACTTGAGCATTGCCAACTTTAAGCCTCTTGTACTTTCTGCGTCTGGCTTCGCCTTGCCCTGTACCGCGAACATGCTCCATGACTTCTGCTTGTTTCCTGCACAATTCTGTTATACTCGTATACATACGGAAGGTTAAAAGCTGTGCGCAAATAGCGGACCGGTATGCACCTTTGAAAATTTGCAATGGTGCGCAATTTTAAGAGCCAGGTGTCTGCCGCTAATTTCCAGGCGGGACAAGTGTAAGTCATTACTGATCTGATCAGTGCCTTATAGAGGGTTAGTTTGATGTTGGCGCTTAGAAGCTCACTTTCTAAAAGGGAGTAGTTTCTGATAAATGTTCTGAAGGTCTTGGCTTCAATCACGGCATGTGAAGTCTCCATGTAATCCTCTTAATAAAAATATTACACCTAGATATTTTACATGATTGACAAAGGGGATATTCTGCTCATTCAATGCAAGATGAGCCATAGGGGACTCAAGTCTACCAGAAAAGTGGATGGCCTGAGTTCTATTATGTTCCAGCGTTCACACGTCTCAATAGCACTGAGACCTCGCTGCAGCTTTCTGAGAACTGTTGTGCTTATACAGGTGTCGTCAGCAAAGAGACCTATACAGGCATCAGGCGTTTGGGGCGTACCATTCATTTATATACAGACTGTACAATGTGGGGGACAGGACGTGACCTTGTGCCACCCCCTTGGTATAGACAGTTCACCTTCGACCGAAACACTGAATTTTCTCTGAGAAAGGGAAGAGCCAATAAAGCTTGATTAAACTGATAAAACATTTTAATTCCGATAGTTCACATGGCAAGCCAAGGAGCCATGTTTGTCGACGGCTTTTACAATATCCAAGAATACAGCATCCGTAAACACATTATTGTTGAAACTTAAGGTTACGTCGCCCGTAAGCCTCATACATTGAAGTTTCGTGTTGTGACGGGAACGGAAACCAAACTGGCTTGCATCAAGCAGGCCTCTTTCTTAAATGTGCCTTTGGACTATAAATAAGAGTACTGATTTGAAAAATGCTTTTATTTATCAGCATAATCTCCCTGTACATTGAGGCACTTGTCCCATCGTTTCACAAGCTCCTGAAAACCAGCAGCATAAAATTCTTTGGGCTGCTGTCGGAACCAAGCGTGTTGCTCTTGCATGACAACGCGCGTCCCCATACTGCCAACAAGACAAATGAGACGCTGCGAAATTTCAAGCGGGAAGTCCTCGAGCATCCTCCGTATAGCCCCAAACTTGCTCCAAGCGACTTCCATTTGTTCGGCCCTCTTAAACATTATCTTTTGGCTGAATATTTTCCCGACGAGGAAGCTGTAGAAAGGGAAGTCACACGTGTTTCCTTCAGTTCACTAAATGCACCTAAGCCTGGAACTCCTGACTGTATGTGTGGCACACTGGCAGTCCTCGTTATACAGCCCAGGCACGAACCGCACAGAAAACGTCCTTTCCATTATTGAGTATTCCTTCGGCAGCGGGGAAACGTGCTTACAGGGCTGTTCCCTAGCAACGACTGCTGTACTGTCGCCTGTTACTTGGCAATAGGTTTACGTATCATAATACGGTGATCTGCGCAAATTGTTGTCCTGTGCTGTAATACTACGTACTGAATGTCCGGAAGTTTACTATTAAAAGAACGAAACAGGTTCTTGCAAGAAGAAAATAATTTAACACAGAATATTCAACTAATTTAAAATTACGTAAAATGCTGTGTTGTTTGTAGCGTTCTTCTACTGTTTGCTTTTTTTTTTAAGGTTGTGTCTTTCTGACGTGCGCTCTGGTGGCTAGTGTGTGAACTACCCACCCATTAAAGTGATAAAACTTTCAGACGTGCAGTCCCCCTTCCCGGGGGCTATTTAATAATATTAAAGAGTATAATGATGACCACGTGCCGACAAAATTTACGTGGAAGCACACACTAACTAACGATACTCCGTTGAGCTGCACGCACACAAAGTGTGCTAGTTGCAAGACTCCCTCAAGTCGTGTGACGTATTTGGGGTAGGGGGGTGCGTGACTTATAGACGGGTTTTGGATTCATGACCGGATTTATTGCACAGTTATACAACTTGCTGCTACACCTCTCTCTTCTCCATCGTCTTCGACTGCCGCATCAAGAGACTAACTGCTCACCTGGAAATCTGGAACTCGACCGACTATTCTGAGTCTGAGTCTTATGTTACGACCGACCGTCGGCCAGTCTGTCTTGGCATAAAACGACCAGATTTTTATTAGTCAGACAGTTGCGGGTTTGTTAATGTCGGGCGGTCTCTCTCTGACGAGAGGACGCGTCTGTAGTTTACAACTGCTGCCGGCCCTCGCCAGGGCAGTCATTCTCGGGTAAGTCTCGTTGGACTCGCGACTATATTTTATTTTACTAACTCCTGACTATTCTCAACTGAACTTTACTTTATAACCACTTTGTGCGGACCGAATAGAAAACCCCTTTCCAATACCCCTACTGCTGCGTCTTTACCGATCCCTTTCTTAGAAACGGGTTCTTCTATTGTTGGGTGCGTGTTCGTTTCTGCGGGAACCTGTTTACCGAGGCGCTACAACCATTCCGCCTTTCACGCATAATGTCACAATATGTACTTTCGGCCCGGGTCCAAGGAAGACTGTGCTGACGAGGAAAAGCAGGAATTTACCTGACCGACCGACGCCAAGAGAACATCTAATGCTGCAGGATGCTCAGATACAGTACTTCTGCTCTTCCTAGGATCTATTTCCAAAAACAGCATTTCCTGGATGCTCTCGAACTGGAGAGCAAAGGAGTACTATTCTGCCTTAAAGACGGAGGCAAAAGGTTCTTCCGAAACTTTAGTAACTTTGTTCCAGACTACACGGTACAGCATCCCCAATAAACGCTGTGAGAGCCTCGAACCCAGCGTGCTGTGTCTCCATAACAAATTAGTAAATTCTGTTTATGGGACCAATCGCTGTTCATTGCCCGAATAATGCGGTGTGAACAATGCAGGGCATTTTACTGTTAAAGAAGGTGGTACACATACTAACCACTATGCCTTAAAGAGGGATAAACGCCACTATAGGCTGCTACAACTACAGAGAAGTTCTAGACAACGAGCAGTGTTACTCACATCTCTTGGTGGTAGTCGTCATCCTCCTCGTTGTGGGGCCCCCCGTCGTGCAGAGGACGCTCCTCGCTCTCGCGAACAGGGTCCGGCCTCCTCTCAACCCCCACGCGGCCACCAGGAGCGGGGCGGTCACCTGCAACACGCAACACACATTTATTTGCATACTTACAGGCACAAACACTCCGTCCGCAACACAACGGGGAATACCAGCAATCTGCTTTATCCGTGCTATGTACTTCCCCTGCTTTCGCCGATTTCATTTCAGGTCCTAATCGTTATCGAGTGACACATCGAGGCTGACATTTAACGGCATCTCCCATGAATAACACGCACAAAGAGCCAACCGCAAATTGTCTGCTTTTTATAACAACACATTGCTCTTCACATATCCACAGGCGTCACAGTATACACATGATACAATGAAATATGTCTGCTCGCTCGTTCGTGACACGGCACGTAACTCCCGATTATGGTAACGCTCGAAAATGTGTTACTATTGTAACCTGAAATAGCTTAACTTCATGTCTCATATACAGAATGAAATGGCTCTGTACTGAAATTAGCAACGCGCAATGGAAATGCAGACAGCAGTGAAGGCACATTCCACGTGGAGAGATAACCCTGGGGACCTTCTGACTAAATTATTCTCTCTCTCTCTCTCGCAAGAGCTGGAGCTCGCCGCCATGCCCAGCTACATCCTGCGGACGTGGAGAGATAAGGGAATTGACGCCGTGGGCAGCGCCAACGGACGGACTTCACACGAACGACACTGAGCGGAACTCGGCATCTGCTTCCATTCTGCATGGATGTCTTATCCTCTGTACTGCCCATTACGAGTGTTATGCATCATTCCTGGACAACTATAATTCTTCCTGTGGTTTTGTATGAGTGTGGAACTTGGTCTCTGACATTAAAGGCGCGTCCACATTACTCGTGTTGCTCGCTATGCTCGCGAGTAATGTGGACGATATGACAAGTTACGAGACAAGCAAATTTTAAATTTTTAATTTAAAAACTATAAATTAAAATGCGACTACAGCCTATACACACTACGAGTAAATATACGGATCCTCACGCGCTGAAGCCTGGCGAGCAACTGAAGTAGTGTGGACGAAGATTTACGAGCACAAGTAAAAACCAGACGAGGCTCCTGACGAGCACGAGCACGAGTAATGTGGACGCGCCTTAAGGGAGGAACACAGACTGAGGGTGTTTGAGAACAGGGCGCTCAGGAGAATATTTGGACCGAGGAGGGATGAAGTGACAGGAGGCTGGACAGAACTTCATAACTTGTACCTTTCACCAAGTACAATCAGAATGATCCAGTCAAGGAAGATGAGAGAGTGGCAGGGCATGTAGCACAAGTGTGAGAGAAGAGGAATGCATATAGGTTTCGTAGGAGCTAGACTGCAAGCTGTCAGAGTAACTCCAGTACTCGAACCCAGCACATTCCGACAAGCTGTAGGACGAGGAACAACTGTCTCAATAGTCAGCAGGTGATCAAAGAATGACAGTCAATGCGAAGGTGGGTCGTATGGACTGGATTCATCTGGCTCAGGATAAGGACCAGTGACGAGCTCTTGTGACCACACTAAATGAACCTGTGGGTTCCGTAAGTCATGGAATTTCCTGACTAGCTGAGCGACTGCTGGCTTCCCTGCTCCGTGAAATTTGGCGGGCTACTGCGAACACGGTAGTTAATCTTTCAGAGTTCCATAACATGCGGGAGAACTTCCTCACTAGATGAGCAACTGTTAGCTTCTTAAGTATGACTCCTGTTGAATTCAGAACGCTTCCCACACAAGTATTGCACCTGTGAGCCCGGAGAAGACATTCACAGAAGTGTAGGGGGGTCAGGCTCCCGGTAATGACAGGATACGACTTACCTGCCACGTTCCCAAGGCCTCATCTAAAGGAGACCAAACGCTCTTTCCTAGGCGATAAAGCGGACGAAGCATGAAACTGACCACTAGCACAATTTAATGCTAAAGTTAAAAATGGACCAGAATTTCTGGATTTCTGGGCTTTGTCCATCATCCAGTATTATAGAAAGTGGAGAACACAACGTTTCGGAAACTGGATCTCTTTCCGTCCTCAAGTATGGTGGAGAGACAGTTACTCGCTTAGGTCCCTTACAAAGAGCTACCCTCAATCACAACGGACCTCACTGAGTCGGTGTCTCCACCCTCACCTGAAGACGGAAACAAATCCAGTTTCCGAAACGTTTTCTAGTTTCTGGAATACAGGACGATGGACAGCGTCCAAAAAGCCAGCAATTCTGAGTGTTATACAACATCGTCAGAGCCCATAATCTACTTCGATGTCCCCGCTCTGGACCCGGCTGCGGTACTCATGTTAACTGGGGATCACAACTCTATAAATAACATCGTGGAAAGGTTCCTGCCGTCGGGAATATGAACTGTTTCCTTCTGAGCTACGACGCCGTGCAGTCTAGCAGTTACGAAAGGCTCAGTCGGTACAGTGACTGGTTAGGCGCTGGACGACTAAGGGCTCGGATTTCGAGGCCCGGTGGGGACAAGAAATTTCTCCTCTCCACGTCGCCCAGACCGGCTCTAGGGTCTACTCAGCCTCCTAACCAATGGGTACTTGGGCCTCTTTCCCCGGAGGTAAAGCGGCCCGGGCGTGAAGCTCACTCACCTCCAACTAGTGCTGAGGCCAAGAAAATGTGGATCTATACATCCACTCCCCCATACGTCTTCTTGGCATAGGCTTAATTAGTTAAGCGCAGGGACAACTTTACCTTTACCTTACATCCTCCCTCCATTACAAATATCCCGGAAATCAGGCTGCAGGCTCATGCGAGAAGCGTGTATAATTTTAAATACCAGACTGGACGGCGGTCACACTTTGGGACGACAGACACTACAATGTTTATAGTATCACCACACTGAACATTTTTCTTCCCATTGAAATTTTGCGCGTTTTATAAGACTCCGCATCACGCACCGAAAATCGAAAAAAAAAAAAAAACAGATTTCGTGCAGCTCGTGTAAACAAGCCTCTTCCGACGACAGACACCCACCTACCGGCAGAATTCATTACTACCTGCAACCAGTGCGTGCTTCGCACTGTCGGCGCACTGTGTTACAAGAATCTCAGGCAGCATCCGTATTGGCTTACATTATCGAACAGCCACAACTTTAAACAGAAACAAGAATTTTTTGGAAGAACTAATCGCCTAATTTCCTTTGATGCGACACAGACCCCATTGAAAACGACGCCTCAGACAATTCTTCGTTGCCGCAGAAACGTCTTTACCGAGTTTTTACCTTACAGCGATAGGGGGATACACAGATACACCCATACACACTCCTTTCATATAACACGGACCACACAGAAAACGACCTGTCCAATACTTCTATTGTTACATGGGTGTTCGTTGTAACTAGTACGTGTTTACCGAGCCGTTGCCCAGCAAAGGAAGGGACAGGCATATATACTGATGAGATTTATGTAGTACGCTGCTGAGATGGGTTCCGGTGTGGGATTCAAAGAAACACAGACAGCCTGGTGATCGCATAAACAACCCTGAAACTAAGAAACTAAAGTTTGCTCGTGTAAGTGCCACAAGCAAACTACAATCGCGCCCCAACACTAGCACGAGGCTAGCGTACACACTGGTGCCACTACCCAAAACACTTCACAATAAACTTATGGGGCTCTACAAATGACACAGTGCTCAGTGGAATACCAAATGCCTAAGTAAATCAGAAAACCACAGAAATGCGCTAGCAGTGAACCTACTAGACAACAGCGAAACTACACATTCCAGGTGTATCGGAAAGTTCCCGGACTAGGTAAAATAATGCTGCCTTAACTTCCTCAATTTTAGCTGCAATTTCCTTCAAAACAGTCTCCATGCCAGCGCACACAGCGAGCCCATATTTTCCCACGATTCAGAAGCGCCGTGGAAGCCATTTCCCCGAATGCTGTCGAGTGCCGCTTGCGGTTCCCTTTCGGTGTCAGACGCTGTTTCAAGATTCGTCCTTTCTGTCTCATTTTCAACTATGGATAAAAACTAAACTCCGTGGCCTGAGTCCGCAAGCGAACTATACCGACCAAGCGACCGCAGCTTGTCGGCGAAGTTAATGCCAACTTTAGCGGACAGAAGGCATCGCGTGGTCAGCGGTTTTCTAGACCTGAGTCGCTACTTTTCCAATTAAGTAGCTCATCAATTATCCTCACCAGGCTACGTGGACCCCGTTCCAGAGACAGTACTTCTCAGAAAATTTGGTAGCGCCGGGAATCGAACCCGGGAACTCTGGATTTGTAGCCAGAAACTCTGACCATTAGATTACAGAGGCGGTCCAACTTGGGATAAGCAAAGCGAAATCACAGACGGCTAGGTCCGGCGAGTAGGGAGGAGGGGAAACGATAACCGAGTTGTTGTTCGTCACAAACTCTGGTTTTGAGGGATGTGTGGGCGGGCGCGTTGTCGTGATGAAGGAGCAATGGGGCGCATATTCAAATTTTCAAATTCAAATCACTCATTAACTGATCCCAGTAGTGTCTGCAAGCTCACGGATTGGTCGGCGACGGTCTGGGAGAGTTCTCGATTTTTCTACATTTTCTGTCGTTTTGCTGGTGCTTGGTCGCTATGAACGTTCGTCATCTTCCACTGACACTCCAGCGGCCTTCAAATGTGAATGCTAATCAAAAACGGCTGTCCAGCTTAAAGAATGTTCTCCAAAAGCCCCACGAAGCATTTCAAGGGTTTCGGCAGCGGATTTACAGAGCTTCACGTAAAACTCGATGCAGACACGTTGCTCGATTTTGCCATCCATCGCAGACAAAACGAAACACGAAGTCGAAAAAGCACTCGTGTAAAAACAATGCGTGATCACAGCGCGGTGACACGTGGAAGACTGATGCAACAGGCTTAGGGAAGTGTGACCTTGGCCTCCCCTCTCATCTGCTTTCACTAACGCAGTTACAACAATAACAGTCCGGAAACTGCGCGATATCACCCCGTAGACTGAAAAGCGTCCTGACTCTGTAGACAGGCCTGACTAAAACCCCAATACAAGAATTAAAATGATATAAAAGTGAACAAAATAAAAGAGTATATGAGTTACGCCACGCTGGCTTCCCACCGCGGCGGCACGGGTTCGA